TTTTTTTTTTTTAATTCCTCTGGCTAGGATCTTTCTACATGTTTAGGGACCATTACTTAGGGGAAGTGACTTAAATCTGGCATTGGTTCTGGGACAGCAGACAGTCAGGCTTCTACCCTCCCCCCAGTTTGAGTGACCTGATCTTTCTTAGTCATCTTTCTTTTGATGTGCTTGAGGAGCTTCTAGCTTTTCCTTTTAACAAGTTAATTGTTTCTTGCTTTGGCTTGCCACTTTATAGCTGTTTTAACTTGTTTGACTCCTCTGTTTTCCCTGAGAGAATGTTGTTGGTTTTTTTGTGGAGTTTTTTTATTTTAAATATTTTCATTCTAATTGCTGTCTTTAATTAGTTCTGGGTCATACTGAACTTTTTTTGTACTTTCAGAATCTCATTTGGTGTCTTGTCAGTTCGCCTGTTTCCTTAATATGGTGTGTTGGTTTGTATCACAACCGAGAACTTCACCCTTTCTGTTTCGTCTTTTAACATGCTTTCAACCAGCTTCCCCTTTTCTGTGTAATTGCCCTGTGCTTCAGCTTATTGTCTGCAGGTCTCTATTTCAGTTGTGTGCTATAGCTACTGCTGACTTAAGATGGGATGGAATTTGGTGTAATGTGCCTGGCTGCACAAGACATTTAGTTAGTGCCACATTCTTTTATGTAAGCCGTTCTGGATAGTACTGCTCATGGTGTGTCCTTGCTGCCCTAGAAGTTCAGCTGTCTCACTTGAAATTGGCAGGGAATCATAGAATTGTAGAATGGTTTGAGTTGAAAGGGATGTTAAAGATCATCTAGTTCCAACCCCCCCTGCCATGGGCAGGGACTCCTTCTACTAGACCAGGTTGCTCAAAGTCCCATCCAACTTGGCCTTGAACACTTGTAGGGAGAGGGCATCCACAGCTTCTCTGGTTAACCTCTTCCAGTGTCTTGCCACCCTCAGTGAAGAATTTCTTACAAATAGCTAGTCTGAATCTATCCTCTGTTTGTTAACCCACCATCCTATCACTACACTCCCTGATAGAGTTCCTCCCTATCTGTCTTGTAGGCCCCCTTCAGATACTGGAAGGCCACTATAAGATGTCCCTGGAGCCATCTCTCCTCTTGCCTGAACAACTCTCTCAGCCTGTCTCAGAGGAGAGGTGTTCCAACTCCCGCTGATCAATCTCGTGGCCTTCCTCTGGATCTGTTCCAACAGGTCCATGTCTGTCTTACACTGGAGGCCCCGAAGCTGGATGCAGGACGCCAAGTGGAGTCTCGTGAGAGTGGAATAGAGGGGGAGAATCATTTCCTTGAACCTGCTGGTCATGATTCTCCTGATGCAGCCCAGGATGAAATTGTCTTTCTGGCCTGTGAGAGCACATTGCTGGCTCATGTCCTGCTTTTTGTCCACCAGCACCCCAAAGTCCTCTGCAGGGCTGCTCTGCTCAGAAACTTAAAAGGATGATCTAGTGCACACACCATAGAAGAGAAGAGAACGGGAAGCAATCTAAACTAGCAGGACAGGCTCTCCATCTTTCATCCACCCACTTTTCTTCTTCCAGGGAAAATGGATTTTACGTCGTATAATACCGATGATTTCATATTGTGTAGTGCAATGCTATATTGAACACCATGTACAAACAAGACCTGCAGTGCCTGATCTCTGAGTCAGGTGGAACTTGAAAAGGGGGTTGAAATCCCCACAGCATGGGGGAGTTCTTCATCTGGATTTTATACAACATCCATTACTCTGTGAAACACAAGTCTATAGGATGAAATATGCAATCACAAGAACTTCTCGTCCTTTCCATTAAGTGGTTTACTGATTTGCATATGCTACTTGGACACTCTTGATAGGAGGAATAGAGTGATAAGGAAGTAAAAAATTTGGAGGAACTGAATTTAATTGCTTAGGGTTGTACTCATCAGGCAGTTTAGACTTTTCAGTCTGCAGATCTTTAAGATGCTGCTTCCATGTGCCTTTATGGTTTTGGTTTTGTTGAATTCTTCTGCTTGTTCCTTCCTGTTTGTTGTGTCTTCTTGCCAGGGGAGGCTGTCCCTCCAAAATTACTACACTGTATGTGTTTTATTTGTAAGTGGTTTATAAATTTTTTTAACATATTTAGTACTTTTGAGCTTGAACATCTATTACTGAGGTGTTCTTGTGATTATTTAACTTTCTTAACCTTAAAGAGAAGAGAGAAACCTGATCAGTTAAGAGTATATCTTACTAATGTATTACAGTTCCTGAAGTTTGACAATTAATTGGTGGATAAAAGAGAACTGGCTTTTCTTACTTACATTGGCATTCAAAGGCCTTGTAACAAGATTCTCGGGAAGAGGCTACTTAACAGAAATTAAGTGGTTATTGCATGAGAGGTAGCTGCCATTACAGATCAAACTGTCTATAATAAAGCGTAGAATTGAATGCAGAGTTTTCATCAAAGCCAAAATGACTGTGGCATGCCTGAAGGGTTTTTTATCAGTCTTGCCATTACTGTATATTAACTTCACAGATGAAAAACATGGTTAGTAGTAAGGCAGAAAAACCTAGAGATGAAAAGAATGCAGGTAAGTCAAGAAAAAAAAGATTGTGAAGACTTCATAAAATTAGAAAAGGCTGCACAAAGGAGATAATGTTCCATATTAATTTAAATAAAACCAAATATAATGGAAAACGTGGCAGACAACTGTCTTGTGTAGTAGTATTTGCTTTCTAAATTGCATCTTATGTTTGTAACCTGAATTCTTAAAGGCCTCTTCCAAACCAAAGTGTTTTTCTCAACTTTGGCACAGCAAATGCAGTGCAACTACAATACCGGGATTTCCTTGAAGTACCTCTTGGTGCTGCTATTACTAGAAAGCATCAAGATAGAAGTAAAGCAAAACTGAGTACTTAATTGTTTGGCATGTAAAAACTTGGAAGTACTTTTTCTTCTACCTTTTTTATGTTGTACACTTCAAGATAACTTGTCTATGTTTGGAGTGTAACTGTATTTACTTTTATGCTTTATGTTCTAGCCATTCTTTATGGAGAAATGTTGCCTGTTGTATAATTTTAATATTACCTGAAGACAATAGTTTTTATGCTGAAGGGATTATAGATTTATTTGTTGCAGTAATAATACACATCAATATTTAATTTTATTCTAGACTAAAAATTTTGAAAACCTTGTTATTCACTTCAATGAAAGTATTAAGGAAGTTGAAAGTCTAGGAACTGCCTAATGTTCTTTTATATTTTCATATACTTGTAAAGTCAAAACAGATGTGTGTGAACTCTCTTTTGTGCTTTTCCTTATAGTTTTTCAGAAAAGAGCACAATTGTTACAGGCTTTATTGCTATAAAAAAAAGTGATTCTGCTTAATTTTCTTAGATTTATCTTGCTTACTGTATTTCTTTGGTTTGTTCAAGGGCATTGGGAGTTCCAGTGACAGATTACACATTTGAAGACTGTCAGCTAGCATTGGCTGAAGGACAACTTCGTCTGCCTTCAGACACATGTCTTTTGGAATTTGCAAAGCTTGTGAGAAGCCTTGGGTGAGCATATAGAACATTTATATGTAAGGTGCCTCTTTATGTTAACAGTGTTGCATTTATGAATATATATGGAGTGTTGTCGCTACCACTGGGGGAACAACATTATCAGATTAAACCAATACAGTTCTTCACTTGCAGGCCTAGATCCTAATGAGCAGGGCAGGTTGTAAAATTCATATTTTCAGAGTTTGACAAGTGAGCTGAGTGTATCTGAAATGTTCATTCCTGCACAAAGCTAGAAGACCCCTCGTGAAGAGGATCAGGAATACTGTAGGGTTTCTAATATTTGGTACAGTTAAGAGTCAGTTGCACTTTCTGGTGACATCTCTGAAGGGAGAACTGTGCTGCCATAGCAGTCTTGTGACTGGATTAGCATTATAAATGTGAGGGCAGAGGGGTCATCCTTTCCCAAGAAGCACAAAGAAGTGGTTGATCTTTTGAGTAGGCTACTGCTGGGTGGACTTTCCAATGAAACTAGCTTGTGCTCCTCTCATCTGTCTTCTCATAGCTTCAGTTCCCTCTACCTTTACCTTTCAGAAAAGCTTCAGCAAACAGTGAAAAAAAAAAAAAAAAAAATCACATAAACCATGTAGCAGAACTTATTACTGCTGTTTTCCAGTTTTTCTCCTATGTCTTCTCTCATCCTACTGAAGAACCACAAACTAAATTTACAGCCTCATCCTGTTCACTGCTTTAACAAACACCTGAAAGTGTAGAGCATAATTTCATGTTTCCATTCTCTACTTTCCTTTCACTATTTTTTCCTTCATCTTTCAGTTTGTGTACATAAATGAAAAAAAAATAGAAAGATCTGTTGGAGAATAAGGAATGTAGGGCAACATGCATTACGCATTCAGATAATGTGTATTTTAATTAATTGTCAGGACCTCCATCTGACTTCCAGTAGGATAGGAGAGACTTCTAAGGGGAAACAAAGATTCTTGCTTTGTTCCAAAGGCTCTGAATTTACAGTACTAAGGAGGGGGGAAAAAAAAGGGCGGGGGGAAAGAAAACCAAACCAAAACACCACCACAGAACAACAACCTCACAAACCACCCACGTCTCGTATTATGCAGTTGATAATCCTGGGATTCACTTTAATCCTCTTGTTAAATTGTCTGGCTTCTGTCTGCTCAATTTAAAACTGTACTTTCAAATTATACTTTTCTGGGGTTTTGTTTTGGTGTCTAAAATGATTGCATGTGTTTTGTGAGTGAGATTCCCCACAATTCAGAAGTTGTCTGGTTTGAGTGATTGTACATTGGTGAAATTTTATCCTGTTTTAATTTGGATATGTGCCAATAAGAAGGCTATTATGATAGTATTTTTCTGGGACAATTGGAGGAAGATTGTAATATGACTTCATCTCTGCTGGATTCTTGATGGCAATGCAGTCATTTTGCTGTTTATTCAAAGGTTTTGAGGCCAGGGAAGCATTAAGTTCACCCAGTCACAGCCCTAAATAACCGGAACAGTAAACTTTATCCAATGGCTTTTGTTTCCAGTCTTAATACTTGGTTTTGAGCAATAATATACCTTCAAGCTAATATCCAGTTTTAAATGCAAGGTTTTTATAATAAGGCAAATCCAGACTTGGTTTTGGTTTAGGTTCTTTGAACTCAAGTTATACCTCAGCTTGCCGCACTGGAGAGTTATTTCTGTTCACATTATGTATCTACAGGATTCATGAACGTTCTGTTGAATTTGCTTAGTCTGTGCTCAGCTGGCTGGGACCCAGTCCAGAGGCCACACAGCCACAGCAGCGAGTTCTCCCGTTTGATGCGATGCAGAGCTTGGGCTCTGCTAACCCCGCTGTGCAGCTGCCAGGCCACCGCTGGCCCGAGCTCAGCGGCCTCCTCCCGGGCTCGGCGGTGAGGCGGCTGCTCTGCCAGCGGGAGCGCCTGACCCCGCCTCCGCCTCTCAAGGCCTGCCTTCAGCAGTCCTGGGGCAGAGAGCTTCTCCTCAGCCTGAGAACCCGTGTCTGAGCAGTCAGCTGGGTACTGGGCTGTGTGCAGTCTTTATGGTAGCTCTCCTACATTCAAAATCCTCTGCTTCATTTGATGATTTTTCACAATTAATAACTTCACTGCTTAAAGTGATTCTCTATTTGTACTTTGACTGGATCTATGACTGGTTTCTAGACATTGAAGCTTGTTTGGATTTTGTGCCTGATTAAAGACTTCTTTGAATTTCTTCTCCTTCAGGACATGTTAATACAGTAAAATTAAGTTTTATCTCCATCTTTTTATAAGATACTTTTTATGAGCTGCTTTAGGGTAGTGGCCTGAAAGGAGATCTTTCAGTTCTGATTTGATTTGTTCCTATTGTCTCAAACTTCTGCTCAGTCTAATTCATGCATTCACTTTGCCCATGAGCTACAAGGACTTTCTAACCTTTACTGTTATTTCCCTTTCTTATGGAACTTTGGCTTGGTTAGGCCATGAGTAGCTTCATAGAGAATTTCCAGCTTTCAGTCAAATGATTTTCTAATATTTTTTTAAAAAATTTGTGACTTCCTAGTTTTAATTGTTTTACTTTCTGAAAAGTAGAGATACATTTAAAACAAACAAACAAAAACAAACCACACATTGCAATCCAAAGTGGAAATGTTTTAGTGGCTGTTCTACTTGCTATTAGGTGAGACTTAGAAAATCAGATCTTGATGTGACCTGACATTTTGCTCAAGTAATTCTAGTGGTCCAGGCCTTTTGCATCTTTCTGGGACACAATAAAAAAAAAAAAAGAGTACTTAGTGCTTCATGAAACTTCCAGGTGGACTAAATATCATGTGTTTGCTTATCCTGTGCTTGACATATATTAGGTTTTTTTCTTTACTGATCTCTCTTCTCTTGCTTTTTATCTACCCTTCAGTTTGTTAACATCCACTACTCTGCTACTGTGTTATTTACTTCATTGCTTCCTGGTTGTTCTTTCTCCAAAATCTTTCACTGCTAAAACCCCAAGTATGGATTGGAACATCTAGCAAGGGTGGATGTGTCTCATGCCCTTCTGTTCTAGTCACCGTTTTCTACTTCATGATTTTTCTTATTTGCTCCAAACTAACTTCAAATTAATTTTCTATTTTTTTTTTTTTTTGGGGGGTGAGGCAGCACTGGTATTTGTACAAGATGGTACCTTGTCTCTTCCAGTATGGTAGTTGGCTGGCAATACAAATGGGAAGTAGAAGAACATAACGTAGTCTCCAGAGACTGAGTATTATTGATGTCTTGTGCTAATGAAGTCTGTCCTGGAAGAATGTTCTACAGCCTTAGCAAGCCTGCAGAGTTTGCCTACCTTACACAATGCCTGGCCCCGATGAAGTTCAGTGTTAGTAAACCTACATGTGTTGAATTGGTTCTGCTCTCTTAAAGGCTATAGTGTTTTGGTAAGAATAACCTGAATTAAACAGCAGCTCCATTTTGAACACTGCTCTGCAGTATTATATTATCTGCTTGGCCACAAGGTTCCTACCAGGCATATAGACTCGTAAGGTCTGCAAGGAGGAGATAATTGCCTCATAGGCCTGGCGCCTGTCTATGGTTGGTCAACAGCCTTTACTATCCAGACTACATGGCAAACTTCTGCTGTCCATATGTGCTTGAAGTGGTGGTCCGGACTGTAGGTAGAGCTTTGCATCCCCAAGGTAATAACCCCTCAGCTAACTAATGGGAGCGTGACTTCAGAGTGTTCAGGCATCATCTGTACAAAAAAACCCCAACGCTTTAGAGGATGTTGTCCATCTACATTGATGATAAAAGCAATACTGCCCATTACAGGAGGTGATCACGGATCAGGCTTAACGTAGCAGATACCAACCATGGTGGCCTCTGTCTTGTGGGTGAAGGCAGGGTGTGCCAGGGCATTGGGAAGGTCCATTTTGCAGCTGTGCACTATCCTTTCTCCATTGTGACAAGCAGTTGCACAGAAGTACATCAGTGGACATAAAACTGAATGTACTGTGCTTTTCTGGCTTCAGGCATGTTTCTCAGAGCTTGCAGTTTACAGTAGTTATCTAAAAGATCCAGCTGTTCTTATGCAACTTCCATCTCTTTGAGGCACTAGAAAGTTTTTGGCAGGTTCTCAAGAGAGGAATTTGTTTTCAAATGCACCTAAAACTAGCTTTAAGGAGGTAAGATATCTCACTTGCTAAAAATAGTGGTAATTATGCTGAAAATATCCTATCTATGAAGTCTGGTGTGAAGGATTTATCTTGAAAAATCCCCTTTCTGTCTTTGGGTACTTGGGAATGACTTTTTGTTCTCTTTAGCATGCACTGGCCTAAAGAATGAAGCAAAACACCACAACAGAAAATGATGTTATATATTGTAAAGACCAGATCCTGCATGGAAGCCATTAGGCAAACAAGCATGATTTCATGAGTGAAGACATCCACTGTTAGCTTCCCAGCTTTTATAGCTTCCACTGGGATAAAAGTAACAACTTTAAAGGAATTGAGATATTAAAAACTTTTCCTATTGGTTTGGAACCTATTGTGGGATTTGGAACACTGAGCTCCATGAGACCTCAGCATAGTAAGTCATGATCAACCACACATGAGTTACTTTGATTCTCAAAGGGAAGTGAGCTCACCTTGGGTTACCAGAAGTACAGTGCAGTCGTTCTCAAGCTGAAGCAGGAAGTTTGCCTCACTGATCCACATACTCTTTTTGATATTGGCTCACATGTTTCTGTAGTCACAAAACCCAAACCACAAGATGTCTGTAAGAGTTATGGTAAGCCATGCTACATTCCCTACAAGGTTTTGCCTTAAAACTTCTTAGCTTTTCAGATTTAATTGACTGATGAAGAGGAGATCTCAAAAGTCTCAACTACTACTCACCAAACAAGTTTCCTCAGTTCTAGAAGGTGAATTTTGAGTTAATTCATTGCAGATCTCTCTGATTCAGAGACATGTTAGACTGCATGTTCTGTAGGTGGTTTATCTCAGGAGAGGATGTGGATGCCAACTGTCCTCATCCTACAGTTAACATCCTTTTCAGCTTCTACAGTGGGGATGTATTAGACTTCTTACATGTAGTCCTGCATGCAAGAAGCTGAGTTCTGTGTGCATCTCAAATCCTCCATGGATTCATTCCTGCTACTTTTCTACTTGATTGTGGAAAATTAGCATTTTCACTGCTCTTCTCATACTGCCTGGGACCAAAATTTAAGACAGGTGCTTTGTTGCCAGGATGCAGAATATATGAATGTTCCATAGCGTCTGTGGGTCTCCAGAAGAGTTCTTGCACATTCAGGTCTTGTAATGCAGAAATACAGGGCTTGGCATAGTTTAGTTAGTGCATTTTTGGTAAGTCAGTTTAAGTAATGGCAGACAGCATGTAGTTGTATTTTGACTTAAAAACAGTGATTTTCTTTTTTTTTTTTTTAAGGAAACATCATTTCAGTAAGTGATCCAGATATGGAGCTGACCTATCAGTCTTCCTATCAGATATGCTCTTATCTTTTTTTTCAATAGCTCCTGAGAATGCTGATATTAAGTATTTTGTTCATTCTTTTCACTGAGAGGAAGCTTCTGAGGAGTCCCAGCTGCAGTCTGGGAACAATTCTGGTGTGAGCTTGTGAATTTTGTAAACAAACTGCTCTTCCTTGTCTGCAGCAGCAAAGAGCAAAACAGACAACTGCAGAAGAATATTGTGGAAGACTTCATTGGCTTCTTTTGTCTTCAGACTGGAAAGCTTGGATGCCAACATTACCCTAAATCAGTTCAGAGGAAACTTGCTGATCAAGATTTAGTTGAAGTTGTATTAGGGAGGGAATATATTTTTCCCCACACACCTGCAGCACTCTTTCTTATATTCATAGTAAGACTTCTTTTGCAAAGCAAAAACAGGTAGCTTTGCATAAATAAAAAGCCATTCATTCATCAGTCAAAATTTGGTTCTGCAATTGGAAAGACTGAGGGAATTTCTGTAGCTGTTAACTGCTATAGCTTTGTTTGCATCGCCTCATAAGTGTCCTGCTCCAGACTGAACGTGAGAAATGAGGACTGACAAACAGGATTAACTGTATAATCGCTATTAGGTAATCCCAGATTTCTTTTGGGCAAGATGCATCAGGTCTTTTCTGCTCAGTGACACTAGTAAATTTGGAAACGTAATTGGTTTATGTTACTGTCCTACAATACAGCCATGTTCAGGTGACCTAAATCCTACCTACTTCTGCATGCCGGGTGTTTAAGAGGTAGTTCTAAACTGTGTTTCTTGTTTGTGTTGAACTGCTTACACATACAGCTTATAATCAAGGTAGAGTAAAGGACACAAGTTTATGACCAGGGTTCCTAAGCCCTCGCAGTGATTTCTAATACAGCTCAAGAACCAATGAGAGCCTTAAAATTACAGGAGTACATTATTTTCTAATAAAGTTGCTTAGTAATTCTTATTGCAGATTTTGTAATATTTTAGACAATTATCTTCCATTGCTTTGTTTGGTTTATTTTTAAAATATGGAAAAATAATACACTTTGTAGGCTGAAGCCAGAAACACTTGAGGGTGATCTTGATAAATATGCTGCAAGTGCCATGAAAATGAAAGAAGAAAAGGTTGATCTTGAAGAGTTTTCAGCGTACCTGGAATTGCCAGTTTCTCACACATTGGAAAGCATGTTTGCACTTTTTGATGAGGTAAGGAGCAGCATCCATTTTAAAAATTGTACTACTTTGGGTACACTCTGCTTCAGCCTAATTCTGTTCCAGCTGAATTAGAATAATAGAATCATTAGGGTTGAAAAAGATCTGTAAGGTATCAAGTCCAAACATCAACCATCCAATTCACTGAGGCCTGATTTGGGCCAGTGCGAAGTGCTTTTGAGCACCTCACCACAATATTTTCCCACTGCAAGGTAAGAGCACCTGTCACCAATCTAACTAAAGCATTCATTCAGGTAGAAGTTACAAGGAGTGTCAGTTGGACAAGACCGATCTTTTTTTTTTTTTTTCTAGATGCAAAATCTGAAGAGGAAGAAAGATGGGTTCAGGCCAAACTGCTGCTGGTGCTTGTTGCAGCTGAAGGCAGTGCCTGTTAGCTGAAATCACTTGCTCTTCTAGGATATGTGAAACAAAGGATCTAGGAACCTGGCAAATGAGCCAGTTCTCATTCCTTTGGCAAGCAGTCAGAAGGGGGAAATGACTATTAGCTTTGTCTGCATGAGGTGCTGTTTGGACCAGGAGGTGGATATGTCCACGGTGTTCTACTCATAGATCAAAGAGCAGCTGTCATGCGTTCAGGACTTGAACTGGGCTACCTTGTCCTCTGGTTCTCTAATTTTATTTTAATCTGGTGATACAAGTATTTTAACCTAAAAATATTAAATACACAAATGAAAGGTGACAGTAGTAGTGCTATCTTCCAAGAATATTTGAATTATGAGTTCTGGCTGAGACTCTGCAAAGGCCCTGCAGAGCTCTGATGACCCAGCTTCTTGCCCTGATGTACTTCCAGTGAGACTGTTTTTTTGCAGTGGCATATATAATGATCTTTCTGAATTTGCTGCATCTTTAGCAATTGTGAGTTATTTATGAAAGTTCTCATACAAATGGCCATATTTTGAGGTGAGGTTTTCCTTCACAGAATGAAGATGGCATAATTGACATTCGGGAATTTGTCATTGCTCTGTCAGTTGTCTGTAAGCCATCCAAAACACTGGAAACTATTCAGCTGGCTTTTCAGGTAAGCAGTATTTTCTTCCCCTATGTACTGTACTTATTTTTAGAAATTATTAATACTGTCATTAGACTTAGTAGAAACTTGTTTCACATGCCCTTTTAGTACTTAATTACATTTTAAAATGCGTTTAAAAATAACATTTAGATTAAGAGGTCATGTTCAGAGGGAATGCATTGCAAGTTTAAGTTGTGTAAAATTCTGGAAGCTTAGGGTTTGAAGTTGTTGTCTGTAGGACTCTGGTAGAATCCTTTTCAGCACGTTGAGTCTCAAAACTCAAGTCCTTTGCATTGATCTCTCTAAACTAAAAGCTAATGAGGTGTGCTTACTACTTCTATAATGTTTCAGTCAGATCTTATTTTTCAAATTAATATTATTAATACTTTTTTTCCTACATGTTAACAAAGATTTTTGGGATTTTACCCCTTTTATCTTCTTGGTCAGATTTTCTTCCCTCTTAGTCTTACTGTGTCTCTGTGTTGGTCCTGCAGCCTCTGCCCAGACATCACACCTCTCAGGAGTGCTGCTTATCTTGTTTTAGCCTTGGTGGTTTGATGTGACATTAGCGTAGATGGTTAATTCAGGCTTTTTGGGAAGGTGACAGCAGCAATACCTAATGTTTGCCATTCCATTGTTGCATCCTACATCCTCTTTTCCCTTTGCCTTGAACTCAGATGGTCTTTAGCACTGCAGAAACTGAGAAGTGCTAACTCTTGATGCTCTCCTCACTTGTGAGAGCATGGAGTTGAGAACATTCCATTGCATGGTACTACATGGCAGCCTTATTTTCTGAGTAGTTGTTTTTAGGTTTTTCAGTTTTCCTGTATTCTCTTAACTATGTTTTGCTAAAGAAATGAGGCTCCTGTGAATGTTTTGTCTTCACATCTCATTCCTACCCTTTTGCCAATACCAAACAAATTTGATGAAAGGAGGAGCTATGTGTGTGTTAAGAATGGTAAGCACTGAGCAAGGGGAAATAGGTATGGCTCCTTTTTATAATAACCAATAAAGTCTCAAGCAGAGGAAATTTTGCTCACAGTATTCTAGAAAAAAGGGAGAGAATTTTTTTCTTTTTATAAATCCTTTCTTACTTCCTGTCCTGGGTTCATGTACAGTAAGAGGGATTCAGACAGCTTACTGGGAGCCATTGAAGATCTAGCCAGTTCATGACTCATAATATCATTTAGGTTGCAAAAGACCTTTAAGATCATCAAGTCCAAAGTTGACCTGGTACTGGCAAGTCCACCGTGTGTGACTTTGAACAGGTGCTGTCCTCTACCGTGTGCTACTTTTTGCAGAGCACTTTGTCATTTGTTTTCAGGGATAAAGTGCAACATTCAGAGCAGAGCGTTTAGTATGTGGCTAAAGAACTTGAAAAATAGGAGTTACTGAGCCACCAGAGTTCTAAAGCAGTGGGCAATTAGAAGTGGGGATTATGGCAGTCAAGTCAAAGAGCAGCACTCCAGTGTAAGTGCTATGCATCCTCCCTTCCTAACTGCAAAGGAAACTAAAGGATGTTGTAAATCTTGTCAGTATGATGCTTGTGAGCCTTAGCATTGAGTGTCACCTTCTGACTGCTTCAGCTGTGAAAATACAGCAGATTTTATTGAACAAGTGTCTCATCTTTGCCCCTACTTCTTGTGAAACAGCATGCAGCTTAGGAGCTAGGGAGGAAAAGGCAGGATTCCTGATTTGAGCATGAATATTGACTTCCACAGCACTTCAAATTTTTTTTTTATTCCACTAACATTTTAAATTCCATTCAAGTGTGTTGTCTCATGACAGCAACTTCTGCTTGTGTAAAAAATACATCCTTATGCCTGTTTTGTTCAATCTCATCAGTTCCCACTTTGTCAGTGATGTAGAGAAACTAAAACGAAATTTCCAAAATAGCAACTTTTATATGGTTCAATATTTGGAGTGTTGTCATGCTTGAGAATAAGACAGGGATGTTTCAGAAACTCTTTTTCTCTATTTCCATTGCACAGGCAGATGGAGTTATTTTCAAAAGCTTAATGAAGATGTATTTGTTACAGATGTTTTGATGTACCCAGGTCCTGTTTTCAGGGGAAAACATTGTATGTGTATACAAAAAAAGAATGAGACTATGAGGAGTTATTTTTACTTGTCAGTCTCCCTGTCAGTAGTAAAGTTGAATCTTTCTGTGAGGAAACTTTTTACTTCAGGACATAAGACTATGCAAATTGATATTTTCTAGAGTAAGTCTTTGTACAAAATTATAGGCCTGTCCCTGGGGTATAAGTCTCCTGATTAATACACCAGGCATTTTATGCAAATGGTGTCTCAAATCAATTTGATTGTGGTCAAAGGAATCTTGAGTTTTACATCTGACCATGTGGAAGCAGTGTCTGCTTTAGGCTGTCCTAAATATATCTCCTGATTCCACAGTCTCTCTTGGAGCTCAGACATTGAATGGCACTGGAATTCCAGTGGTTAGGCGTGAAATACAGATTTTTCTTTTTTCTGAATATAGCAAGATTTACTTTCTAAGTGTACCCAGGTGAACTAATAATCAATACTATCTTTTATGCTGACTAATCAGAAATCCCTAGTAGATCACATCAATCTGAGAGTGACTAGAATTTCCAGTACCAGTAAAAATTTAAATTTTTCACTCTTTAGTGTGATGCTCTTTGTAAGAGTTGACATTCAGCTTTGCAGTGATTTATCTTTGTCTTGATTCATAGCTGTACCAGTCAGAAGATGGAACTATAACAGAAGAGGATTTAGCTTATATTCTGAAGACTGCCATGGGTGTGTCACAGATTAATGTTACGCATCTTTTTAGAGCTGTAGACGAAGGAGAAGAAGGAGAGATTACATATGGTAAGCATTTTGGGTGGTTCTAAACTTCTTGTTTTAAGAAAGCTGTCATAGCTCTATCCTGTTGTTTGGTCTCTTGTACCTGTTCCCCACTATTTTTGCCTTCCAAGAATACAGGGGGATACAAGACTTTCTACTCCTATAATAATTTCTCAGGGTGTTTGAAAATAAGTCAGGACGGTGTGGGGCTGGGGGAAATGAGGGAGCATTAATGGGGCTGCTCCATGGACAGTCTGTCATGCGGGTGATCTGGAGGCGAGAAAGTTCATTTTGAAATTGAGATCTGGGTGACTAGATTGTGCTGGGAATCATCGTACTTGTGTGCTACTTCAGATCCTCCTTCTTCTACATAGTAAGGTTCTAAATTTACTTGAACCTTTTAAGTATGAACTGAGTTGCTGATAGCAAAGTTCATGTTTCCAGCAGAGGTGCTGATGACATACCCTGTTTTAGTAGTTTCCCTGCAGGATAATCAGTATTTCATTTATAAGAATCTCACAAATTAAGACATCAATGTTAGTAAATCACAATTTCTACACTAGTAATTCCCATTTCAATCATACCATATGTATGTAAAGCTCCAACAGCAACTATTTTAAAATTGCTGGAATGAGAATCACTGCTCTTCCCTTTTTTCTGGACTGCTGTCTTGCCTCCTTGACTCCTGCTGTACTGCCCCTTTCCACTCTGTACCTCTCATCTGTCCCACCCCCAGCATTCCCATGTCCATCCTACCTAACCCTTTTCCCTGCCCATCTCCTTGTTGTTCCTTATTGTCTCCCAACTCGTGCAGTGACTCGACTCTTGCTTCTGCACGCCCCATCCCCCACCCCCTCCCCTTCACCAGCTTCAAAAATACCAGCACAGAAACTTAAGCTGGTAAGCCTAACAGAACTTTAATTTTGGCATACTTCATTGTTTGAGAATAGCTTCATTTGAAATATTGTATAAGTGAAGTCAGACCAGTTCATGTGAGTTACCACATGTGAGTTAATATCCATCTTTAAAACTAGTTACATTTTGCACAGCATCACATCTTTGAACCTCTGCTTGGATCTGTTTCTGAGGGAAGTGCTCAATATAAACATTGCACCAGCATTTTAACATACCTGAAAGCTTAATAGTCAAAATAGACGTCCAGTTTATTGTGGTAAAGAATTAGAAGATGGAAATAAACTTTTGGTATTGCTTTTCTACATTGGAAGTACTTGCCTTTCCTGATAATATGTGCAACTTTCCACTTACTTGATGTGTTGTACTTAAGTACTGAGAAAGGAGAGGTGGAAAATCTGCAAAGTACACCTTTTCTGAAAGCTTTGTCCAGAAGAGTTCTGAGAAACCAAAACTTTGTAGTCAGAGGAAGAGTACTGACATTGCTTTGGATGCTCATAGCTGAGGTGTCTGCTCGCAAGCTCCTTCTCTTTAGGGCTTTAGAACATAAATTTGGGAGTATTAAGTCTTCAGTGTCACTTCTAAGAACAAAAAGTAAAATATCCAAATTATCAAACCTAAATTGATGCACATATATATAGCAGAGTCCACAAAGCCAGAGATCTCATCCCAAAGGAAAAGCTCGGGTTGCAGGTAAATAGAATAACCAATAGCAAAATTGAGGGTTTGGGGTTTTTAATAAGTACATTGATAATGTTAGATGTAAATTGTTGCAAGTCTGTATTTTTGTCATGTATTTGAAAATACACTAGGTGCCAAAGATCTGTGGGTTTTTTTTCAGTTCTCTTAAGCAGTGTGCTGTTGGCTTAACTATGTAGATGTGCCTTGATTCCAAAGCTTATCCCTTCACTGTATTCTAGAGAGAGGTAAAATTTCTCAGTCTTAAGACATGATCTGGAGAAGGTGAATAGGTTCTGTAGGTGGGCATCAAAAGTTCTAGGAAACTGTCCTAGATGACTGAAAGTGGTGAGAAGACTGCCTTGCTTGCTGGTAACAAGAAAGAGGGGGTTGGCAGCATTGTGAATATCCATATGGATGAACGTTCAGAGAAGGAAGAATTATTTGTTCTTTACAATGTAGTATCCTTACCTACATTAACCACAGGATTATGGTATATGTTCCTGTATGCTAAAATAACTTGTAGCTGAGGGGGATCAAAACCTAGAGGAAATTCGTGACCACACAGCTTCTATCAGGAGTGGATGAGTATTGCAAAGGCAGGGGGAAAAAACTCTTGATGTTCATGTAGTACATGTGCATACTTAATGCAAAAGGATAGACAGCAGTCTTAAAGAACTCCACTTCAGGTCCTTTCCTATTTTTTGTCTCTTTTCTCTCAGTAGGGGCAGAAAGCAAAATTACTTTTTCCCCAAGTAAATGATTAAGGTGATCTTTTCTTCCTGTCTCATGCATCACAGTTACTTTAAGCTTGAGCTCCAAGGTGAGACCTGATACTGAGAAGTAATGCTGGAATAGGTCATTCTTGTGACATCATCTTGTCTCAAGTTTCTGGGTGAGGCAAATGGAATCCCACTTACTTTTCTTTGGACTCTGCTGTGTACACTTTGATAAATATTCCATAGTATCTTCAAGACTTGTTTGAGTAAGATCTCCTTACTTGGATCTATCAGAAACTTTATCTTGCTCCATTTAGTCCCTGGAATATGAGGTTTTTAATTTGGATCCTGTACTGATAGAACATTGAGGGATGGATCCCAGTAGCATTGTCAGGATGTTGATCTGGATGTAGACTGTTGTACTTGTGTGAACAACTGCTTCAAGGGATTTTTCTGAATTTATTTTCTGAAAATAAACAGTAGCTTTTTGAAGAATTAGTTAAAATGACGTTTCCAGTAAATAGTCTTTCCTGTGCACAAAAGATTATGCCTAATGTGATTGTAACAGCATCTTTGGTACTGCGGGTTGAAATTGTTATGCTTTTCTTGCCTTAGTTGGACCAACTATCAGAATGACCTTATCCAAAAAAAGCTGTTTTTTCATGGTCATTAATATGATGCACACATGGTATGTGTTGTTACAAAAAGGAATAGATCCTTCAGATGGGCTAAAAGCATCCATGTGAAAAAAAAGAATGTTTCTGTGTTCCTGCTGCAGGCCAGGCCCAGTTAGGGCTGGCAGCTGGTGAAAGTCTCCTAGCTGCAGAAAGATCGTGTACTCAGCTGGGTTCACCGAATGTCCTTAACTGTTGTGATTCTGATGAAATCAGTTTGCACTCAAGTGTTTCTAATGTATTATTGCTGCTACTATCACTGTTAAATATTTTAAATATAGAAGAAAGTTCTCCATGTCCTGTTGTAACAAGGTCGGATGCATCACATTCTTTGCTGAGATTACTTAAAGTTGAACTTGCATTAAATATTACCAGAAAAAAATTTGCCCTGTTCAATTTCAGACATCTAAGATTTTTTTAATTAGTATTTTTTTGTTCTTTTTACTCAGACTTTAGCACTTACATGATCAGTCAGACTGTTGTACATATAGCTTTTTTTTTTTTAACATTTTCAATCACAACATTGGTTGTTTTCATGGTGTAAACATCACCAGCTTTTGTTGAAGTTACAGGGTCCAAAATAATTTAGATCCGTGTAAACTGTGAATAAAGGATACTCACTTTTTTGTTTGCGGAAGGATGAAGTTCTGTTTGTTGTATCCTTCCCACCTATGCCTTTGCAAAAGTTCAGAGGCAGGGTAGATGTACAACCCCAGCGCCCCTGTCAGCCAAATGACGTTCCCTTACCCTCTGCAACACTGAGAGAAACGCACAGTCCCCAGGGGAGTCGTGTGGCGCAGGGGGAAAGCGCTGGTTCTTCGCTCCTCTCACACCAGCCCAGCGGTAGCGGGGGCAGCCGGGCTTCCCTGCGCTACCCGGCCACTTGGGCTGTGGTGTGCGCTGCGCTCCGGGAGCTCGGCAGCAGCCGATGGGGGGAGCCCTGCTGGGCTGGCGCGGGCAGCTGGAGGGGACCGACTCGGTGGTCGTGTTCACAGCCAGCCACTGTCAGTTCGCGTTATAAGAATAGCTTCTTATGAAGCTGTTCTGGGGTCCTGTACAGTATCTGGTATTCAAATCATGTCTGATTAGAGTCATGTGGGCAAATTGTGACAAGGCTTCAATTTCTGATTTTTAACAAAAAATGTTACTTCTTGATGTTAAAGATTCCCTGCTCCCCCAAGAAATGATCTTGCTCTTTTAATTTTCTTTATTAGTATGCAACACTGAAATAAGGGGTTTTTTTTCGTAATGTTACAAATTTGCACAATATTATTCTCTGAAATATTAGGACTTCTAAGTGCTGAAGTCTTGACAGCAGAAGGCAGGAGTGACAGGTGGTGTTAGATTGAGGAGCATTGAAGGCCGTGTTTGCAAAGGACTTTCCAGATTTTAAGAAATGACTGCTCTTGCTGTTGGTTGTTCCTCGGCAGGGGGGCTCCTGCCCTTCCCCCAGTGACCAGTGGGATGCTCTGCGGGGCCATGTGGTGCTCCTCCTGCGTTTTAATGCCAGCCTGAGCCTGTTTCCCCCTGCACCCTGTAAGCTAAGCTCTGAAGTGTTTCCAGAGGGTTTAGGTAACTCTGTGGCATCTCAGAGCTGGGGATGTGGTAAACTTCTGCTGAGAAGCTAAAACAAGCTTTGGTGCTAGCATTATGTTAACTGCTGCTATTTTTCTCCAAAGTGATCATGTGATTATATGTGTAAGTATTCAGATTTAGCATCCTTCTGTTTCAAAGAGCTGATTCTGTGTAACTTTTTTTTTTAGATGACTTCTACAGATTTGCTGAGTTGCACCCACGCTTTGCAGAAGACTATCTCTACACGGATCAGATGGGAGCTGAGAGTGGCTTGGAGATGTCATCTCTTTCTGCTCCTAATGGTATCTGTACTGACTTCAGCCCTGAAAATGCTGAATATAAACCCAAACCTCTGCAGAAGAAACTGAATTAACACTACAACTGTTACCTTCCTCTCCTGGTGAGAGGATTGTCTTTTCTTTGGATTTTCATAAATCACTCCAACTATACAGCAAATACCAGTTTTGTGTGTGAAAGTTCTTCTACCTTAATACTGTTCTTTGAATCATACGTGCTGTATTTAACAACATGGTCCAGGTTACTTTGGGAAAGGTGTCTTTATTTTTTTTCCAAAAGGTCTTTGAAAGGCAAAAAATGTGAATGTGCTTCATTATTAATGTTCATATTTAAAAGGAGGCGGCACACTTATTTATATTCCATAGGCTAGTTTCATGTACAAAGTGTCGCACACATGGTGCATGTATAAAGAAATTGTAGCTACTATGGTGTTAAGTGCACTTTGGTGATTAGTGTTTTCCCTGGCTACGGGGATGTTTATTTGGGGCCAAATTTTGCTGTCCGTATTTGCATAGTCAGTCTTGCTGACTTCAGTGGGATTATTCTCTTGAGCAAGGTGAGCATATTTTGGCTCTTTGTTTTGGTTTTGGTGAACAGTTTGGAAACAAATGCAAAAACTTGCTAAGGATTACTTTTATTTTTCTCATTGAATGACAGAATTGTTTCTCTCTGTCTATCCCATGGTAGAATGAAAAGGAAAGGCTCCTTATCCATCACCCCAGCACTTTTCTACTGTAATCTTCCGGGTGCAATTAAACATTATTTTTTTCCAAACTGACACACCACATACTGTTTGCAAGTACCTCACAAAACTGTTTCTCTTTTCCCTTATAGTCGGTTCAAATCATGTCCATGCAGCATTTAAATGGGAGACATTTACACAATTGTTTTTAATCTAGATTTACCAGGAATCATAAGTTTCTTTTACAGCAAGCCTGTATATACAAATAACTTGGCATGGAACAAGTTACAAAAACTTTGTTGTATCAGCATAAGTTCGAAAAGGTTGCAGTTACTTCAGAGGCCAAGCCAGCAACAAGTTGCAGAACATCCTGGAGAAATGGTGGTTAAATCTCTATAGCAACATTACATGTACTGCATATAACATATATGAAGCTTAAATAGCTTAGATCTGTTTAAAAAAACAAAACAAACAAACAAACAAAGAAAACCAGCAACAGTATTGGTAATATTTCTCATCTTTCCTCTTGTTAAACAGATGCCTTAATTACCAATGGAGTTCTCAGAGGAAAAAATAGATTATTATAAAACCACAGAGCTTCACTGATTAGGAAATGTAACAGAAGCCTCACCAAGTAGGAAGGATGTGATGGCTCTGTCACAAAATGACTCTAAATGCACTTCTACTTTGAAACAAACAAAAAAATACTTCCAAATATTCTCTGTGACTAACTTTGTAGGTCTGCACTAAAATAGGGTAGTTTTGTGACTGGAAAACTGTTGAGATTTGAATCTTCTCATGTTAGAGTAATTTAAAACCAGATTTGAAAGGAATTTTAGCAGAAGGAAACTTGTCTGTACCAAACACTTTTATTACTATTTTTTAAATAGCAGGAGCTGGTTTTGAGGTGCATTAGAATGCGTCCTCAGAAGTCCCTAACTGTATGTGGCAAGTCTCCAAAATGAAACTGGCTGTAATAGAAAGGGTATGAGGAAAAAAAAAAAATGTAAAAAAATTATGCTTTCTTTGAAGTTTGTGGAAGGTAGGTTCTCATCCGGAGGTAAAAATTAAATTTTTTATTTATCTAGGGAACACATGTCAAGCTGACAGGGCTGCAGCAGACTGGCAGACAAGATTTGAATAAAAACTGATCTTGGAAAAGAGGAGGAATGGTTTGGAAAAAAAAAAAGGCACGTGATGAACAACACTTAGTAGGAAGTGTCAACTGCACAAACAGAGTTGAGAGTGGGTGTTACTGCATAAAACATCTCAGAGCAGGGAAGGTATAGAGTAGAAAAACTGAGCACTGTTAACTCATGGCTGCAGAGAAGACACTCTTTACAGTGGGATGCATCAACATTGTACCCTGTGAGTATTTCTGTGTTACCAAGGTGTGATAAGGCCTTACCTGAAGTACCTGTTCATCTTGGGGCACCTGAGAAAGGTGGGGAGTAGCTGGATAGAGTCTGGAGGACAAAAAGTACTCAAAAAAGGTATCAAAAATATCCTTTAATTCAAGGAAGAGAAGATGAAGGAAGATGTGAAAACAGTCCTCAAATATGGAAAAAGTTGTTGTAGAGAAGACAAGAACAGTCCTTTCTCCACATTGACAGTAGAGGCTATCAATGTAAAAGACAAGATCAGCATTAGTAAAAGTTTCTTACAATACACCTGGTTAAGCTGAGGAAAAGGGGTTGTTCCAGGCCGGGTGAGGAGCCTTCCTTCACTGGATGTTTAGAAAACGGAACAGGCAGTGAAGATGGAGACGGTCGATTTTGTTGATCATGCCCCAGGGTGCAGGGATATGTCCTGAGGTCTGCTAATACAGTATGTACCTCAGTTGGTGAGTAAGGGAAGGCACATGCAATATGCCCACGCTGCCGTGCATCTCCTCTGCAAGGCTCTTGATGGCACGTGGCTCAAGCTGTCACTAAGTTGCTTTCTGCTTTGTCTATGAGCTTGGGAATTTGAGAATTTCAGGGTGTGAGTGGGTGAGACAGAGTTCCCTGAGACACCAATCTGAAAAGAAGAAGGTAAGCTTAGCATTTATCCCATGAACAACTATGAGGTGAGAGAGGCTCCAGAGGAAGAGGCACTCTGTCCGCATGGGTGAAAGAGCAAAGCAAACTGATTGAAGTTGGCCAAATGTGAGTGTGCCTCGTGTATGTACGGTGTGTGCAACTTGGGGATCTGTCGTCTAAAAACCCAAGGGTTCATTTGGTTTTGTACTTGTTTTGGTGAGGGAGATGTTTTCTAATTGTGGTAAGTCTAATAGCTGCACTTGTGTGCAACTACCACGTGCAAAGTGTTTGAGTTGAAGGGTTCTGCAGCCTACAGGAGGCAGGCCCTGAAACGGCCACCGTGACTCTGGAAGGCCTATGTGCCAGTGGGTTTGGTCTGGGACTCCAGCTGGAGAAGGGTGGTGACCAGCATGCTCTTTGCTTGGTGTGCAAGTACTCTTGCTGGAAGCAACCATTAAAAAAACCAAACCAAACCCAGAAAGCCACACGTAGGTTCTGAGCTGCGATGCTGCTTCTCTGGTGAGGTTGTTGAACGAGGTGGAGGCATAACGGGATGAGTGACAGGGTAGAGTCCTGACTGCACATAATGTCACAAAAGCTGAGATGAGCAAGTATAATTCGGGTGATTTTAGCATCTGTAGAATATAAGTCAGTAATATTAGACTGCCTTGTAGTGACAGCAGCACCATGTTACCGTCTGGTGCTAAACTCGGGCCTTGTTGAGGCCTGAGACCTGTCACAGATTGTGTCACTGCAGCAAGGTTGCAGCTTGTCTGTTGAACTCCAGCTGCTGAAATGTTTTAGTGGTTCCACTTAAGTAGCCTTTTTAAAAGGCACCCAGCTGCAGAACACCTGGGTTGTGGCAGCCAAAGCAAGCAGTGGCTTGCTGTAATGTCAGGGAGAAGCAATATATGCTTTCAATTAAAAAATTACAGATTTTTACAAACACGTAATTTTATTTTAACTGGTGATATTGACAGCCCCTAAATTTACTACAAGATGTGAAGAAATTATTTAGATTCTTTGCAACAATTTCATTGAATAAATGATCCTTAAACAAAAAAAATGCAGAGATGTGAAGGCATTTGACATTCCTGAGGAGAATTTTACTACTTTTATGTAATACTGCCATCTCTTGCATTAGACTGATTTTTTACATGTTGTATTAGATACCAGGCCAAAGCTTTGCTGTTCTGGTACAACTGAACAAGTATACTCTGTATTTTGAATGTATTTGAAGTAACAGAAAACCACAAAATATGAGATGTCTAAAAAGCAGTTTGGTTGGTTTTTTATTTATATTTTTTCAAACATAACAAATCCCCACTAAAACCAAGCAAATGTTAAGGAGGTGGAAAGGGTGTTTAAGCCACCACCTCTACCCCAGTAAGGCAAGTGCTGTTCCAGGCTCTCAGACTGCTGCTGGGAACAGACTGACTGGAAAGGCTTTACTGGCAACTTGTAACCCTTACGGAGAAAGTAGGTTGTGCACTTAATTTATACCAGTGAATTACACTCTGTTTCACTATATTTATTGTAGCTACAACAATCTTACTGTGGTAAAAAGCATCCATAGTGTCTGCGTGTGTTTCGTAAACCCACCCTGAGGGTACAAATCTTACACCACAAAGGTTGAAGAGGAGACACGTGTGCAGAAGGGAAGCGATGCTGCCTCTTCAGTGGCAGAGCTCCTGGAAGTAAATAGTTGTGTTGTATGTAGTTGTTTATTAATATTTAAACACAGACTTAGCTAGTTCAAGCATTGGCCTGGTTGGAATGCTCTTTTATTCATAAAATGTCGTAAAGATTTTTCTGGAAAAGGGATTGGTTGCTCTTCAACATCTGCACAGCTTGATGAATTTGTTTTCATTAATTTCTGAGTTCCCTTACAAGGCCATCTTTGGTATTGGCACTAAAGTATCCTTCCTACTTTTATATTACTCTGCAGTAAATACAGCTTTTCATGTTAGCTGTTTTAGTCACATTGTGCTCTCTGCTCCTTCAAAATTGGTGTTCTTAAAAAAGAAGGAATACAAGCTGTAGAACTTGAGCAGCACACACTGTAGATCCCATGATCTCAGAAAAATACTGTAAGCACAGCTTTGCATATATTATGAGACTGAACTAAAAACTCTGACTAAGTCAGATCAATTTGCCTTTAGGTCAGAGTGTGGGTCATAAGACCTTCTGAAACATTACATTCTACTTACTGTGAAGCCTCTAGTTTTTTTCTAGCAGCACTTTCATGAGTGTTCTAGAACTAAAAAATGAGAAATATGTTGTCCAAGAGTTTTACTTCAGCAAAACTTGAGTTTGGCTCCTAAACTCTTATGAAAGCACAGAAGTTCCCTGTGAACCACGCACTCCAGATGGTTTAGTTACTTTTTATGTATTGGAATT